CACCCTGTATAGGTGAGGGTTTGGGGAAATAACATTTGCATATGCAGAAGAGTTTCATATAAATTGTCAAGTTTTCTACTAGGGATTTTGACAATTAAAACTCCAGAAATTTCTCAAAGAAATCACCAAGTGCATATGTAGCAATTTAACCAAAAGGACTTATTGCAACATTGTCTATATTCATGAAAAATTGTATACACCAAAATTCCCATTAAAAAGAAACTTGTTATATGGATAAATGATACAGCCAATCAATGGAATGATGTGTAACCATTACAATGATGATGTGGAAAAATTATTCAATGATATAGAACAATTTCTAGTATAAATCATGAGAAAAAATTAAGTCAAATGTTTTTGTGTGATATGATCCTTTTTATACATATAAATGCCATATCTATTAAAATATGTAGACATATACATAGAGAAAGAAAGTATGCTCAATGTTAATATCATTCATCTCTGAGTGGTAAAATTGAAAATGGTTTTTATTTTATTTTATCTATAACTTCCAAAGTTTCTCCAATAAGTATGTATTGTTTTTATGCAGAAAAAGGTTTTAAAAAAAAAAGCTCAGAAACAGTAAAAAAAAAATGGCTCTGACCATTTTTCCAAATGAAAACAATTTTCCCAAATGAAGACTTGGTAGCTGGAGTAGTTTATGCATCACAAGCGGACCTATCCAGTTTAGTTCCTGAGAAAAAAAGTGATTAAATAGGTACAAAGTCCATTAAAACCCAGCACAACTGGTGAAAGTTTGATTCATGCAGACGTGCAATTTACTTTTTGCTCATTTTCATGAGTGTTAGCCAACATCTGAAGTTCTTATCACTTTTAGTTTGAAATGTACTAAGGCAATATATTGCAAACTCTGAAGAGATGTTTCACCAGAGATATGTCTGCAAAGAATTAAAGGAAGTATTGATTGGGTTGGTGACAATAGTAATCAATCAGCATACTGCCCTCTTTTGGTAGTTATTTGCAACTTGTTTTACATGCTCGCCTATTGAAGATGCTAGTTTACATGTTGGTGCAGGAATGGAACTAATGCAAATCACCTTTTTCCTCAACAGAAAATGCTGATAATTCCAGTTTACTATCACCATCTGGTAAGAATGTATTTTTTATGACTTAGGGAATTTTAAGAAAAATATTTTTAAAATTCTCCCCATTATGTGGCATGGAGTCAGACACAGCAAAGCTTGTTTACCTCTGTGACACATAATTATGGCATTCAATCTACACCTGTAGTAGACATAGGAGATAGGCATATTGATGCTTCCATTTTCCTGGGCAAAATTGGAGAATAAGTCATTGGGGGTGTAAATTGCAGTTTTCATTATGGGAATTTCTTGAATTTTTAATCTATTTTTGGTGCTATAGTTCACACAAAACATCAATACAAGCATACCAGATGTTCTAACGCTTAAGGGTAAAATGTTCTCTTATGGTCCCTCAATTTCCCTGCTGAAGGAGTATTTCTCACAGGCTTCTAATGGTTTATTGGAGTAGGAAGGTAAATAAGTTAGGCAGAACCCTATATGGGCAGGAACCAGGAATAGAACTGGAGTTTGAGACTGTCAACTGGAAGGGAATCTTAGGGAGAAAGTATCCCAACCTTAGCCGTTAGTTGAGGAAACCATGAGGCCTGGGGCAGTTCAGTAAATTTTCTAAGATTGCAGTTTCTTACCTCCTGGTGTAAGAAAGTAACACATGGCTTCTCCCACTTGTGTGTTCTTTCTGCAAAACAGTCTTTTATAATGAGACAGTTCACATTCTATACTTAGCTGTGTGAAAATGAGCTGCTTCTGATATGGATTCATTTATTTAAATCAACTCAGTAATAATATCCATTGCTTCTCATACAACACACTATGGTGCCTGGAAGTTGCCCACCCTTCACATTCCATATTGAGTGTAAGAATTTTTGCCTTCATGTTATGGATGGGGAAACTGAGGTTCAGATAAGATGAAACTTGCTCATGTTCATATTGTCTGGAGCCAGAATACTTGGGGTTCAACCTTAGCCACCCCTCCTCACCCGTGTTGCTAGCTGTGTGACTATGGGAAAGTAACCTGCATCTTTCTGTGCTTCACTTGCCTCATGTGTAAACTGGAGAGAATCATAATTCCTGTTCTGTAGGGTAGCTATGAAGATGAAATGAAGCACATGTGATTAACAGAGTAAAGACCCAATGAATAATAACTAGTGTGAGTGATTAAGGGATGAGACAAAGATCAGGGGCAGGCTCCCAGGCTTCCAAAGGCAACTTTGTCTTTCCTGGGCCAATTTGCTCTCTAGTTGTTAAGTTCTAAGGTGCAGTGAACACTTAATTTGGGTGGGGGGGGCGGGCAGAATAACCTCAGCAAACTTAATTATGGTGATGCCTGAAAAATTGTGTTTGCATGCAGTGGAGAATGGGGCCTTAGAGCACACGCCAGGTGCAGTCACAGCCTGAGGCCCAGGGGCTCTGGGAGAGTCAGTGTAATATTGAGGGACACGTGTGGCTGTGCTCACAGGTCTCTTCTCTGCATGGCATCACCAGGCATCAGCATCTGGGAGAATTAATAGTCATTAATGTAACAATAATTTTAGTTACTTATTCCATCCTGCTCCAGAGCAAAGGATTCTGTATCAGTCAGAAGTACAGTAAATGAAAAATATGGAAGCAATAGTGTGGGCAAACAGGGTGTGTGTGCATTTCAGCAAATGCATGAGCAGTCGCCAACAGGCTGGCCAGACATCTTGCCTCACCCAGATTTCATCGGTACAGGTGGAAAATCAGACTCACTGGTGTTGACAGTCATTTCTGTTGTAAAATGTTTGCTTTCCCGTGTTGAGGTTGAGCCTTGAGATTGGGTTTCTTTAATATTTAAATGTACAAAGTGTAGTATAGCAGATTGATCTCTGAGTATAAATGAAGTCATTCCCCAGGAAATTTGTAACTTAATCAAATGTCTTTATAGGAGCCATATTTTAAAGTAACGTACTGGGAAATTGTATTTGATAGGATAGTATTATGTCGTAGCAGCTGTTGTTTTGTTTGTTTAAATCCTGAGTTCACAAGGAAGAATTAGGCAAAATTACAACAGTATGGACCCCATGTACCAATATATTCCATGATTATGATTCAAGAAGTTATTGACACAATGTTAATAACAACAAAAAAAAAGAAGTTATTGACAGTGCTGTCCAGAACTCTGAAAATCTTGAAAGAAGCACTTATCTGTTGGTATGCTTCTCAAACTAATTTCCATAAGATTCCATACATACGCTTTGTGATCATGGATCTCAGGCCCCTCTGTAATTTTCTTATTAAATATGGACTCAAGGAGGCAAGCATTTAATCTAGTAGTTCAGAAGTACACATCACATATTGGACTGCCCAAGTTCAATTTGTTGTTGACTGCTAATTCCAAATTCCTGGGAGGGAAGTAACAGTGATGGCTTGAGTAATCGGCTCCCTGCTACTTACACGAGTCCCTAGATTGTGTTCCTGGCCCTTGGCTCCTGCCTGATGGAGCCTCTACCTTTGCAGGCATTTGGGAAGTGAATCAGAAGATAAGCGCTCTCTCTCTTTCTCTCTGCCTCCTAAATAGTTGGTTTCTAAATGCATAATCAGGAAGTAATTGTGGAGCTCACAGATATAACTATATCATTCTGCTAGTATGCTGTTCTTTTTACCATAATTGTCTCTAAAGTTCTAACACCTGAAAATTTACTCATTATTCCCAAGTATTTATTTTAATGTTTTGTTGTCATTTTCTCTTGCAGCTGAATCATCTCTTATCGGTTTTGTTCCCTTCTCCAATGGTACTCCAGGCAAGATTTTGGAAAAAAAAAATTAATGTAGAATTAGCTCAATTTGTTTTTAAGTTTTTGTTTTGCTTCTACTTTCACCTTGTTTTTCCTCCTTGGGATAAAAAGAGGTTCAAACTACAAGCCTCAATAGTAAGAATTTTTCTGAGGCAAGTGAAAACTGGAAACACTAAATAAGAAGATATGTAGAATGAATGAGGCTGAAGGATTTGATTTCTAAATTAATTCTGAATACATTGAGTAGTTGCCAATAGCCCAAAACTAAACCTGTGAGCCCTCAAAAGTGACTTCAATTTCTTGGTTAATTGATTAAAAAAAAAATCTTGCAGTCATGGAAAGAAGACAGCCCTCCATCACAACTGTTCTAGAAAAGAAACATAGATCACATTTGAAGAACTCCGTCTCAGTTGCTTGTCAACAAGTTGCATGTGACACACTGTTTAAATGTATGAGAATGTCCAATGATTTCGATATGATTCAGTAGTTATGTTCATTTTAAAATTTTATTTCAGATGCTACATCAAGTATATTATCTACTTTAAACAAAACAGGTAATATGTAGTTACTTTTGAAGTCATAGGCTTGTGCTCTCTAGGTTGAGTTGTTCACTTGTGTAGTCTGTTGGCTTAGTAAACTACGTTCCCCTTGTCTCCTTGTCCATTCTTCTGTGCCTTCAATTGTTGGCTTATTACCCCGCTAACTTTGACAGTGAACTATGATTCTCTTGTCACCACGCCCCTAAACTTGCAAACTATAATGACTGTAGCACTCTATTTAAAATAACACCTATTATTGTTTCTGGTATTAATAATGATCTTATAATAATGGGAAATAAAGAGAAATACAAAGAAAATGGAAATAATCTTTAATGTTGCTTTGCTAGGACTACTACTGTTAATGACTTCTTATCTTCCCATTTAGTATCACATATACATATTTTTATATACAGATATCCTGTGTATATGTCCTTTGCAAAAGTAGTCATAGCTTACTTGTTGTTTTCATCTTCCTGTGTCTTAATATAAATTGTAAGTATTTTCCAATATCCCTTATTATTGAGTTAAAATATTCCACTATGTACATATGTTGAACATTAAAGGTGTTTATTTTTTTCTAATAGAAGTTGTTACAATGAACATCCTGGTGGCAACATCTTTACACTCATCCTTTATTTCTGTAGGATACATTCCACGGATTGGATAAAATGGATCAGCATTATGAATATTTTAAGGCTCTTGATAGCTACTGCCCAATTGCCTTCCAGCAGGCTTTACCTAGCAGCATCCCTGCTAGTAGATGAGGATGTCTATATCATAATACCTTTGCTGAGACGATCATATATTGTTAGATCTTTCAATTTCTTAGGTTTCATTGTTTGCTCTTGATTACTATAGAGGTTGAACATTTTCCCTCAAAAACACTTTGGTTACTAAAACCAAAAATTCATTCCATAGTTATATTTTGTTTGCTTTGGAAAAACATCAGGGCAAGCAAAATAACATTTAAATGTTCATTATTCATAAAGTAAAATGTCATCAGCCTCTATAATTGCCACCAGTCCATAGGTCCCATCAAAACTGAAGCTCATCAGTAGCACTGCATGAACAGATCAAGTTGCTGAAGCTGCCAGAGTAATGCCCGCGTTCTCAAGTGTCCCTCTCAGAGTTTGAGCTTTTCTGCAGAACTTTTCTACCTTTGTAAAATTGTGTCGTGAACACAGTCTCTTCTAATTAGCCATCTGCACAGCATGAATTTCTAAAACTGGTACTCCATTATCAGGGGAATGAATCAGGGCCTCTGTCCCCCAAAGCGTGTTTGAAAGTTATTTCCAGGATTTTCTCCTTCCAGGCAAGTTAATATTTGCCTGTGGTCATTGACTTTGAATAGTCCAGGTTCTGTTATTAGCTTCATGTGTGACCATAGTAACATAGCCTCAACTGTTTTCAGAATAGTTCTGTCACTATTATGGGGATAGTATGATATTAATTCTTGAAATAGCAGGACACTTGATTGCATGGTAGCAATGTCTTGATGTATACTGTTTTGTAATTTTATTCTGAACCATCTGCTCTTTACAATTTGTTACCTTTAAGTCCTGATAGCAGCTTAATCCCACATCTGTGATGTGTAAATCTTCATTCATTGGTCCAGCAGTAGCACATGGAAACAAAAGTAGAGTCACTTTCAGTGGAATATGAGACAGGTGTGATCTAACTGGATAAACATGGGACTCCAACTTTCACATCCAACCTATGTCAATGCTACATGGTCCTTGTATGTGATTCCCATTCAGTCTGTTGCTGAGCTGACTGACAGTGTCTTAAAGGTGTCAACAGTGTGATCTTCCTAATATGTCATTAAAATTATACTCATGGCAAATTGTTTTTAAAAACAGCAATTCTGCTCTAATATTTAAATTGCTTCTTTGCAGAAAAAACTAAAATCACTATAGTAAAAACCTTCAATGCCTCAGGTATGACTATCAATATCAAGATTTTCTTTTTTATAAGTAAATAAAAGTAAGTGGCTGGTGTTAATGATTTCTTTAAAATCTGTTCTAAATGAATAGATATTTATGTACTGGGTATTTGAAGTTGAACTAGGTGTTTTGGAGCTATGCAATAATAAGCAGACAAAGCGCCCAGCCTCAAGAATTGCTAAGCTGAGGAAGACACAAGCCAAAGATACAGATAATTAATATGAACATGCATGCAAATAAAGTCAATGATTATACCAGCATTTGCAACATGATGAAGGTGACATGGGAGATAGAGAGGGTTCAGTACTGGTGAGTTTATTGATAGGATATAATTATTGAAGGATTTAGAGAGCTAAAACAATGAAGGGATATACTTCTAAGTATTTGATGCAAGGCAAGACCCACAAGACATGCTTAATGAAGGCTTTTGACAATGGGTTGTATCTAATTCACTGCCCATTTTGTAAATAAAGTTTTATTCGAATATTACCATGCTGATTTGTTTGCATATGTTCTATGGCTACCGTTTTTGCTGCATAGAAAAGCAGACGTATAAAGGTTAAAATATTTACTATCTGACCCTTGGCCACCAAAGTTTTCTTACTAATGATATCAGGAATGATCTGTGGTCCTGTACATGGGAGAAATTGAAGGTTACAGTTCTAGAAATAGGAGCGAAAATTCTCAGAATGAATGAGGAGAAAGACACCCATTACTAAAAGTGGAAGTGCACCTACAAGTTAGAGGAAGATGAGGAATGACTGAATGAAAAGCCGTGAACAAGTGAAGGACTTATAATGTGCAGTGGAAATAAACTAGCAATTAAACATTGCATACATAGTCCTGATCAAACAAGTTTCAGCAAGGAGACTCAAATATTTCTCAACAGAAAACTTTTTTCCTTTGCTTAATACATTATCACTATTTGCTCCTCCAATTTAATATGCATCTCTTCTACTTTGTTGCAAAAGATGAAATTGAGAGGGAAAAATTCTTAGAGAAGTGACTCGTGAGCTTGTTCGTGTCAAATGAGGGATACACTTCTCCCATCACCAATGGAGAAAGTTTTTCCCAGTTTAGTTTGTATGATGATCTTTGTTCTAATATGATTGATTTCATCTCCCACTCCTCTTTGCCTCCTTCACATGTCTGTGTGTTCCATCATCCTGACCATCAAGTCAGTGAGCCCTCATTACAACATTTTTATGTACTGGCCAGTATCACTATCTAGACTGTAAGCTCCTCTTGAAGGACAAGCTCTATATCTGGAACTTCCTACAGTTTGTAGAATATGGCAGGTGCTCAGCAAATATGTTTTGATTTTTACAGTTTTCCCCCATGAGATGGGACCATAACATTAATGCTATTTCATTCATGTATTTGAATAAAGGGCTGGGACTAAATAAGATGTTTATGGACTCCATTGCCCAGGAAAGAGCAGTCTATTGAATTTGTAGCCATGATGCTCTGATTATATTGGACAGGAGGGGAGTTCATTGGGAAGGGAACAAACAAATTTGAGATAGGAGTTAGGAGTCCGATATTGACATGCTAGTGGATAATAAAGACCCTAATTCCATAGTGGACCAACTAAGAAATGAAAACTCATTAATTCATTGTGGAATTTATCCAGCCAATATATTCAGCAGATTTAAGTCTACTTTTGATGCCTAAATTAATGAATTTTCTTGACAATGCAGTCTGTAAGTGTAAAAGTTCACATACCTAACTGCTGGGTTGTGTTTTCGTTGCAGGAATCAGACCTCAGAAGCATATCTGCAATTTGTCATCTATTTGCAATGACTCAGGTTAGTTCTTGTATACATTAGACAGTACCAGATAAATCAGCATCATAGCAAAACTGGCTTGTTTTTCCCTGATTTCTCTCTTTCATACTACCTACCTATTAAGAATCCCTAATGAAAGTAAAAACCATATCTTAGATCTGGCTGAAATGTTCTTCCCATTGTCTAGTGAGATTTAACTTCCTGAACACGAGGCAGAAAGATCTACAACAGACTGTTTTCACTATAGCTATAAATGCACAGCAAATACCATTAGTGTTTATTCATAAATAAAATAATCACTGATTATTGAAAGGTCATTTCTATATAAATCCCTCAAGCTTTTCTGTAGGAGGAATTTACATACTGCAGTTTTGAAATGAGATGCTTTCTTTTGCTAAGAATAAAACCAGTTTGCTAGGAGGTTGGAATGGATGCCAGTTCCAGTAGTGCCTACAGTGTGTTTGTTTTGCTATTTCTAACTAAGACTCCCATTATTTTTAAAAATCGAGATGGAAATCTCCTGAGAACATTGATTTTTGAAATGGGAATATTATCTTTGCTGTTATGGGCCAGAAGAATGAAACAACCACTTTTCTCACATTGATTTGGCTCTGTGGGTTCCTTTTCTTGTTAAAGCCAGTGAAAACAAATGTGAAAAACAGAAAAATATAGTCTGGCACATCAGAACTGGCCAGAAGAGAGAAGAGGAAGGCAACATGGTATTTTATGATATTGAAGTCTTAGAATGAGTCCTGTGATAAACAACCATTGTGGAAATGTTTGTCATTTTTTCTGTTCTTTTTAACAATAATTTAAAAAACATTGGTGACAATTTTAACCGAAATTCGTTAAGTCTGTATAGATCAGAAAACAGGAAAACTATATTGAGAGAATGTTGCCTAAATGCTTTCTATTGTGTAACTGTAAGATTTGCACACGTGAGTTTTCTGTTGCTAGTATGCTTTACATAGGCCGCAGGAGGAAGATATTAGCTGATTTCAATGAAAGAAAAAAACCTTTGGAATCCATTTCATTTTCCTACGTTGTATAATTCTTTTCTTCCCTTCTTCTCTTTGTGAAACTCCCCATATTTTTTAACTTCCTCTATGTTTCGAATTTGGTAACAAATGTCTGGTTCAGTGTTGTGTCTGCCAGAAGAATGGTATTTGATAAACTGTTTGAAAATTGAGCATGTAGTGAGAAATAAAATGGTCATCTTAAATAATGGATGCCAAAAAGCTTATTGGAGTAATGTTTTCCTCCAATTAGCTGACTGAATTGACCATTTGTTTTAGTGTCTGGTGAAAACAACCTCATCAGGAAGCCAGCTCTTTTGGCACCAGAAAGCCCACCATTTCCTGCCAGAAACTAGAAACTTTCCCTTCTTCCAGGTTTCTGTCTGGTTCATTAAGGGAGGTGGAGACTGGTAAAGAAATTGGGAGTTGACCAGGAAGAATTAGGCTGTGGATCAGGAGATGGTGGCTTCCTGGTTATCACTGCTCTGAGCACATTTGTGAAACTCAATGTGTACACAAGGAGAACGTGAGAGAGGGGGAATTTTGAGTGTTAGCACTCAAACACACACGCATATACACATAAACACTGAGTAAGCTTTTCAAAGTCAAGAGTTTTTTAGTGGCTAATTCTGTGCCCATATCAAGTATGTTTACTTTTAATAATTAGATACTATGGTCGTTGAAAGTCCAGTATCAATATGCTAAAGCTACCATTGCAAAGTTATAGTAGGATAGGGCATGTTAATCACCACCATGATGACTTTGCTAACCATTTTGGAGTGGAAATGGTCTACTGGGTGCAGGGCTATGACCTGCTGTTGTCCTTTGCAGCAGAATAAAAGGTGAGGAAGTCTTCAACCCTCAAGCTCAGACGTTGGCAGAATACTGTCTATAGTCCAAATGTGGCCTGCCACCTGTTTCCATAAGTTCAGTTATGGTGGAACACAGCCATGCCTATTCATTTATGTATTGTCTATGGCTGTTGTTAGTAGCTCCAACATAGACCCTATGACCTGCAAAACCTCAAGTATTCACTAACTGGTCTGTCACCTAAACCATTGGCTGAATCCCACTGGAGTTGATATGGCATCCCTACCCCATTGTTCAATAGACCTGTTTTGATATTTATAGATTTACAAAGTGCCCACCACATGCTTCTGTTGTTTCCAAATAGAGTCAAAGTTCCCAGGAATACACCATGCAGAAATCCAGGTTCAATGAAATTGAGTTCAATATTTCCCAAAAGGAACATTTAAGAAGATAATTTTCTGGAATTTCTAGAGTGAGAGCCACCATGAGTTGATCCAATGAAGAAAAGATTTGCCCTGCATAACATTTAGGTTTGCAGCTCTGTTTCTAGGGAAGATATTGCAACTGGTGGCTGTCTTTTAAAAGCAAAATAAACAACAACAAAAACTGGCAAAGAGGCTTGCATATGCTAACTGCCAAAAATACTTTTTCCTTCCCTCTTATTTGTGTATGTGCAACTAGAACACCTTAAATGATTTTTTTATAAGTTAGTGTTAGAACCACTGTTCCCCAGTTAGCATCTTTAAGGAAAGCAACGTTGTGATAATAAGCACATAATAATATCTTTTCTTGACAGAGAAGCAAATTTTATGTTTGAATCTCCATCTTAAAACTTTATGGTTCATATTTTCCAAGAACATTAACTTATTACAGAAATGAAATACAAATAAGGTAATGTTTATAAAGCAGTTTGATACCTTTTATGTGTTACATTAATCTTCAAAGTGTCAGGATTCAAGTCTTAAATTTCTTTTTGGAATAATCCTTTCCAGCATTTTTTAGGGGTGAAATAACATTTCAGTTTGGTGAAGAAAGCAACATTACCCAGGTAGGTTTTAACGTTTTTTTCTTATTGCAATCTTAAGCATATACAATGTGTATTTCAGAATTGATCTTTAACAAAGATTTATTTAAGGTTCATATTATTTGTAACATTTGGTATGTATGCTTTTATGATCCAATTTAACTAAATATATATTGTTGCTTATTAGCTTTGGGGTGAGGACTGGAATGCATAATAATCATGGTATTTTGTTGCTAATTATATCCTAGCTTTGATTAGGTTGGCTAAAAGTGCTAATGTGATGCATTTTCACGGCCCGTTAAAGTCCTAGTGGAAATGCTTAGCAATGAAAAAAATACATGTATTTAAGGTTAGAATCTCCTGTCTTCCCTACTCACTGTGTGGAGGATGCAGTACAGGGATACCAACCTTTCCTGTAAACTTGACTTATTCAGGGCTCCCAGCCAAACACAGTTTGTTCATTCAGTGAGTATTTCTTGAGCACCTGCCACATGCTAAGCAATGAGCTGGGTGCTAGGAATTCAGGGATGGCTACGATCAAGTTTCCCTTCTTAAGTGGAGGCGTATTAAATCTGGGTCTTTTCATGTTCTTTTGGGACAATCCTTGAAATAAAGACAGACAGAAATTAGCATATCAGAGCTGCTGATTCAGAATATTTTTAAATGAAAACTGGCTCAGTCAATATGGATTAACTTTAGAGAACTGCTTTTTCCCTCCTTCCCTTTTCTGCATAACTGCAATTTAATTGTCTGATAGACACAAGTCCAAGTAGTTTAAATCCAGTCTTTGGAGTAGAATTCTGTCAGTGGCGACCAAAACTGAAGGACACCTTGTTGTTGGAGCTGGAGTGTCAAGAAAATAGAAAAAAATAAAGTCAATGATTGTATTCTTAACGACTTTATGCTTCTAACAGAATCAACATAGAGCTAATGGCACCTTAAATGGAATCCTGTCTCTGAGTGAATTGAAGTGAGTAATCTGATGTTTAACTTAACCCTTCAGACATGAACTTTAGAGATTTATTGAGCCACATTTGCTTTCAGATACCAAGAGGAAAGAGACAGCCCTCAATGTCATAGAGCTAACTTGTTCTTGACTTTTTTAAAACTAACAATAGTCACCTATTACCAACTAATATCCCCATAAATTTGTTCACTGTAATATTCTAGAATTACATAGCAGCTTTGTTTGAAGTGAGTATCTGACTTTATCTGACTTTCTCATAGAACTTCACAGTCTGCATGGTTCAAAGAAGAGTTTAAGGTTTGACCTCCCATTTTTGCCACTTGTTCACACATGCTTTCCTGAAGCACTGGGGAATCAAGTGTCAAATCTTTGTTAAGAAAGAGCAAGAATGGGCGCAGAGGGACATCATGATTCCAACACCCTCAGGGCCTACTGAGTCTGGAGTGATTAGAAAACCCAGCCGGTGAAAGCTGGGCTTAGCTCAGGGTTATGCTCATGATCTTTATGCCAGTTCTTTGACCTGCTGATGAAAATCTTGCTTTCTTAACTATTGAAAGTTACATCATATACATGAAATAAAAAGCAGAAGCTATCAAAAATGTGGAAGGATTTTAAAGTTTAGATAAGCAATAATAGCGATAGAAGACATTACATTTCATTTTATGACACAGTTTCATAGGCTCTGGGATTCCCCCAACCCTTCCCCAAGCCCTCCCCCCATGGTGGATTCTTCCACCTTGTTGCAGTATTACAGATCAAATCCAGTCAAGATTCTTTCATTGCAAGCATGTACCATGCATAGAGTCCAGCATCTTATTGTCCAGATAAATTCAACAGTTTCTTGGGGAGACCATCTTTGGTCTGAAAGTAGAACTGGCAGAATATCATCCCGTCCAATGAAAAGCCACAACACAACATCAACAACAATTTATAACATTATGGAGTTAATTGACATGGTATTGAGTGACCAATATGCTAAAAAAAATGCAAGTTCTTAACCACATCCTGTGACTAGTTCATTGACATTTCAATTTTTTGTTTATACACAGCTGGCTGCTATACACCTTAAAATGGCTATAGGGTACTATTCAGCAGTCTCGTATCTATTTTCATTTTAGTATTTAGCAGTTTGTAGTGTTGAAGCATAATTTTTAGTGAGCTTGGCAGATTTTAGGATAGTCTAAACTGGCTTATAACTCTAATAACAAGGCATTTGTCAGCAGTTGAGCTACAGAACAATTTTGGGAGGGGTGTGCAGAGAAATCTTCAATACCTTAGTGAGGAGTGACTTATCTTTGTGTCCTACCTAGTAAAGTATATATGAGTCCAAGCTGATCATTTCCTGACTAATTCTAAGCTTTCCTTGTTGTTCTCTATCTATCTACTCTAATTTTTTGGGGGGGTGTTCCAGAGCGATCCTGATGGTCATTGCAAGAGAGGGTGGGGATCCGAACTTGGAACTAAGTAAGGACCAGAGAAAGCTCCCCTCCCGAGTCCCAAAGGGAGTTTACTGTTCTTCTGTTTCTGCAGACCACTCAGGGCTCCTGGTTGTTGTTCCAATGACATTAGATCCTGTGAGGAAGGATCTGGGCATCTTCCATCCCGTGTGGGAGATCTGAAAGGGAGTGGATGACCTTAGAGTTCTTGGCCTACAATAGGAGACAGTTTTTTAAACTCACAAAGTTTAGAATACAACTTAGCATATTTGTAACTCATTAAAAAAAAGATTTCTTTGAAAAGCAGAGTTAGAAAGAGAGAGAGAGGGAGCTTCCATCCACTAGTTCGTTCCCCAGATGGCCACAATATCCAGTGTTGGGCTGGGTTGAAACCAGGAGCAAGGGGCTTTTAATGTGGGTTTCTCACATGGATGCAGGGGCCCAAGCACTTGGGCCATCCTCTGCTGCTTTCCCAGACACATTAGCAGGGAGCTGGGTCACAAGTTGGAGCTACCAGGGCAAAAACCAGTGCCCATATGGGATACTGGTGGCTTTACCCACTCCACCACTGTGCCAGTCCCCAAGTCATTGATCTTAATGACTAGACTAGAAATAGAGTTCAGTTCAGTCACCCAGCATTTGTTAGGTGCCTACTAAAATAGATCAGAGGCACAGAGTCCCTAGGGTTAGTGGCTTGTCCCTCATTGAAATGTTTGCCTGGGAAAGCTCCTACTCCTGATAAGTGACAAGACTGGGCAGCCATCTTTTACATCTTGCTCTTGGCTAGAACCCAAGCAACTCCTGGTGGGTTAGTGTCTCTGGTCATATCAATGATGCATTTTTTCCCCATATAGGAATTTCTTGACACAACCAGCATTTCTTTCAAATGAACATTATAAAGTAACCAGTACTGTGTGCTTGTTTTAATTAAAGATCTAATTTGTTTTGCTTCTGTTTGCACATCATTAATGGTCTCCTTAATGCCAGTGTCTCTCATTTTGCTAACAGACGTTCAGAGCTCAACACAACCCTGCAAGCCCTAAGCCAGGTAGCTAATTTGCTTATAATTAGTGCTACTACTTGGGGGTGGGATGAGAGGGGGGAATGTGGAGTTCTGCATTCCTGGGGTGATACATGTTCAAATCCTCCAAACCTGTCATGATAGAGTGAATTGATTGGGAGTGATGGGCAGACATTCCAAGAAACTAGATTTTCCTTCATGTGAGACAAAAAGCCTCTTAAAATGAAATATGGTAGAATCTGCTCATTTGTGTACCTTTGAGCTTTTTGACCCTGAAGGTCACCAAGCAATGTTCACTGGCTGACCTGGCTTCAGCGACACGCTGGGAAGGAATAGGACTTGGATGAGCCCCAGGAATTCTTGAGGTGCTAAGGTTCTGTGAATCTGGGATTCGCCCTGGGACATCTTTTCCGATGCTCCCAACGGTCACAATGATCTTTTTTCTGTCATTTCTCTCTTTCAGACTTATTTTATAGTGTGTGCTACTGAAGAGGCCCAAAGGTTGGTCATTTTTAATATGTCGTATATATGATTTCTGCATTCGTGGGAAACGAGTGTTAAGGGGTCTTAAAATGCAGATATAAAAGTGTTCCTCTAAAATACATACATATTAGTGAGATTTGGGGCTTATATATTTTAACTTTTTCCAAACACTGAACCGTTTGCCATATTCACCTTCTCATTTCTTTATGAAGCATGGGGCCCGGAGGAGTGTGTTTTGGTGGGCCACTTACCTCTGGTTCTATGAGGCTAACGATCCTTGACCCCAGGGCCACCAAAATAACCACAAAATGATTTCCAGTGGTTCAAGTAGAGTGAAAGCCGGATGGAAGAAAAAAGGAACTTAATATGGAGCTTGTGAGAAGCAGAGAGAGAAAGAAGGAAACGAGGAGGAGGAATGGGACAAAAAGCAATTTCAAAGTGCATGCAGGAGTGCGTAGGCAGAGATTGTGGGACAATTACTGGGCTGCCTAGGTTATCACTGACAATTGTATCCACTCACTGTCCTACTTGTGTAAACCAGTGGCTTATAGGACAATAATCTCACTACCCAAGCATTCCGTGAGCGACAGTGTTGGAGAATGACAGTTTCTACTCATCACACTATTCCTTGATACAAGTAATGCAAAACCTCGCCTGGACTTGTACATTGAATTCCTTCTGATCTGCATTTTTAGTTCATTCATTTACAACATCAGGGGTGTGTGTGGCCTAAATCAAGGCTGAAGTAAAGGGAAACAGAGGATATATGACATTCTTGGTTCTCTGATAATTTGGATTGAATTGCCAGGGAGATTTTACATTTAAGAGACCTTGAGTTTCGTCTCGACTGGTATCTGAAAGGGCTCCCGTGAGGCAAACCCCAGGCAAGAAGCCAGCGGAGACCAGAGACTGTAGATTACAAATATGTAGGTAGGCTCCCAACTGAGTAACTTTCTGGTTTATGTCTCTCCTTACAGCACACAAAATTGTACATTTACAATAAGATTGAATAAGACAATGAATGTATGTGCCATAATGGTTGCTTTGAAAGGAGTAAAGATTCAACGCATGGGTAAGTTGGCTGAGGTTCTGTTGCTGGCTTCGTTTTTCACATCACTTGTGAGGTGTCATTTTTCAAATTGACAATACAGCTGATAAGTGCACATATCTTACAGCTTTCTGTTTTCCTTCCTCTCCTCGGGCAATTTTCAAAGAGCCCCAGAAGGTGATTTGTCCTGCTTTCTTATAAAACTTTGATCCGTTGTACTTGAAAACAACATAAAACCCCAGTGAGGGGGAAAATTCAGCTTAGAGAATCAGATGGATTGTCAATGAGATATGCTTACTTCTTTTTCTAAAAGACAGGTCAAAATTTATATTTTTATGATTTTTGTTACATTTCATGATGTTCCGATATGTTGCGGCATGAATAAATCAGGTTATTTCATATATGGATTACCTCACATGCTTACCAGTGTTTTCATGTGGTGAGAACATTCAAATTTACTCTTAGCAATTTTCAATTATACAATATAACTGTAATCATCATGTTATGCAACAGTTCTCTTGAACTTATTCTTCCTGTCTAACTGGAATTTTATGTTTTCTAACCCACAGTTCGCCGCACGCTCCCTCTCCTGCGTCCCCTGTCTTCACAATTTCACTGTTTTCTATGAGTTCAACTTTTTAGATTCCACATAGAAGTGAGATCATGCGGTACTTGTCCCTCTGTGCTTGGCTTATGTCACTTAACCTAATGTTCTTGTGGTGTGTTTACTTCTGAATCTCTTAGGAGTTGCTGAAAAGGAATGGGATAATTGTGTTCCTATAACAAAAGAAGAATCACATAATTGTCAGTGTAATGACATCCAATTAATTTTGTCATTGGTTTTAGACAATTGCTCTTTAGAATGCAGTCAGTGTAAGAACTGCACGATTACTCAGTGGGGCTGATCTGCTGTCTGGCTTTGTTCTTTCACCTTTTCCTTTTGTCTCCTACAGAACAATGCTGTTGTTCTGCCAAGACACCTTGCCCTTCCTCCCCAGAAGACCTAGAAAAGCTGCAATGGTAGGTAATAAACACACTGACCTTTCTCGGAACAACAACAAAAAAGTTTGCATCACCACGCTGGCTTATTTTTGGGATCCCAGGAGTGAAGAAGGTCCTTCAGTTTTCAGGAAAAATGCACAATTTTCTGTGAAGTTTCCATTTGAGCCATTCTTTAAACCAAGTCCACAATCATGGCTGTCCATTAGAATAACCTGGGTGACTCCCAATAGATGTGCCAGATGATTTCCCATTGTTTTTATGTAATTGTTTTTGTTTATTTGAAAGACGGACAAAAACAGAACATTACTACCCCAAATGCCCACAATATATGACCCAGGCCCATCCCAGAAACCTAGAACTCAATCCGCATCTCCCACATCGAGGGCAAGAATCGAGGCACATAAGCCATCACCACTGCCCCTTGGAGCTTGCGTTAGCAGGCTGCTGAGACTCAGACCCAGGCACGCTGATATGCAATGCAGGTATACCCAACCAGAGTCCACATGGCTGGACCCAATGCCCACCCCTATGTTGTCATTTTCAAAGACATTTTGCCAGTTTGAAAAATGATAGCTCGGTGTTAATTCTAGCATTTCTAATGTTAAGGTTGAGCTTGAATATTTCCCCCGTATCTTTAGGGGCCATTTATGCACCTTTATGTGATTGAGGTATTCATGCCATGTCCTTATGGTTTCTGTTGGGTATCTGATCGGTTTGTAAGAGTGCTTGATATATTGTGGATATTAATTCTTTATCTGTGGTAAGTGTTACATTCTCTACCAGTATGGCATTGCCTTTTGATGATTATTTTTTTGCCATGTAAATTCTAATTTTTGATGTCTTATTATTTTGCTAGTGAATCTGGAGACATAGGTAGAAAGCCTCTTCCTCCATTCTGATATTTTTCTAGCACTTTTATGGCTTCATTGTTTATATTTAGGTCCACTTGGGAATTTCTTCTTGTGATTTAAGGTATAAATTTTACTGTCTCCAGCACCACTTAATAAAAAGCCCATTGTACCACTACCCCTCAATAATTTGAGATACCTCCTTTGTTGTTTTATATGGTAATTTTTAAAGATTTATTTATTTTTATTGGAAAGTCAGATATACAGAGAGGAGGAGAGACAGAGAGGAAGATCTTCCATCTGCTGATTCACTCCAACTGGCTGCAATGACCGGAGCTGTGCCGACCCAAAGCCAGGAGCCAGGAGCCCCCCTCAGGATCTCTCATGTGGGTGCAGGGTCCTAAGGCTTTGGGTCATCCTCTATTGCCCTCCCAGGCCACAAGCAGGGAGCTGGATGGGAAGCAGGGCCGCCAAATACGAACCAGCACCCATATGGGATCCCAGCATGTGCAAGGCGAGGACTTTAGTTGCTAGGCTACCACACTGGTCCCTATATACTAAATGTTGAGAGGTATTTGAGCTTAACCTAGGTGATAGCTGTTAACATTGAAAGAAGCTGAGTGAGCAGTCTGCAAAACTTACTACTATTTTTGCAGTGTTTCCATAAACTTAAAATTAGCTTAAATTAAGAAAAATTTAAGAAGTACCAATTCCCAATCATGGCTGTCAGACTGATTTAATCGGTCTGGACGTAGCCATGGAATTAAGGGTTTTCAGAGATCTTCCAGCTCTACCTTAAACTTAGAACCTCAATGGAGAGTCACTTGGAGATGCTCTAAGTCAACAGAAAACTCTGAAGGTCACATAGGATGTGATCACAGGTACATAAAAATATCCAGAGAAAAAACAGCAAAGAAATGAATGAAAGTTCTTCCTGTCATTCCCAGTGATTGATCCATCTGCTGGCATGACAAGTATTTAATTATTTTTTCTTACTTTGCAGCATCTTCTGTATTTTTCTAAAATCAGATAAAAAGATGTACCTGGAATAAACAAACCCATGTTTAAAATGGGAAGCATCTCATACAGGAATGGAAGCATAAGAGTAACCTCTCTGGTCTTGACTAGCCACATTTCTGGGGTGGATTAGAAGATCGGACTTGAAGGAACAGCTCAAAATCTATAGTTAAGGATCTGTAGCATTTTCTGCATAAAAAGTGGAGTGTCTTGCCCCATTTAACACATCCCATTAAGCTGGAAGGTTGAGCCTGTTTGGCATAATAGAATTTCTGGAAACATTGGGATCTGATCAAAAGACAACAGTCTTTTTGAGGTCCCCCATTGACCTAATGGTGGCCAATTCAGAAAGCTGTTGCAAAGAAACAGCAGCACACAAAAGGGGGTGTCTGGCTAGAGCTCCATCATTAACTAGCTGTGTAACCACTCTTAGAGCAGGTGTTTTATTACCTTTGAAGCCTCGGAAGTGGGTATTGGGAATAGGCAGGACCTGGGAGACAGTGGCAGCTACAGAGACAACATGACATACAGAAGCTAGAAGTGGCAGATCTAGGATATAACCACATCATCCTGGCTGTGTCAGATGGCCACCAGGAGGAGGACATCGACTCCTCAGTACCTCATTGGTATCTCACCAGCATCTGTTTTTTTCCCTTCAGTGATCTGCAGCAGTCTGTCGTCTGTCTTGCTGATCAACCACACGATCCACCATTGGCTTCTTCCAGCAAGCCCTTCCTAGTTGGACCTCATGCCACCATTCGTTCCCAAGTCTCTAGTGCTGTTTCTTTGCCTGAGCCCCTGGATAATCCACTGGTCACTCAGAAAGCTCACTCTGCTACAGGAAAGGGTCACCTCCCCTCTCCTCAGCCTTCAGCTTCCATAGTTTCCAACCCTTCCATTGATATATCCCCCCAGTCTGGAACTAACTCTTCCCCTGTGCTACAGACTGATCTTTCCCACACCCTACCATCTGCAAATTCCTCGCTTTCCTCTCCTGCCACAGATGCATCTACAAATGTCATCAGTGCAGTGCCTGAAAGCACAGGTGCGTATGTGGAGCCAAGCTGTTCCAGGTTGGAATTTTGTTTCCCTGAGATGTTTACAGCTACCAGCTGTAAAGCTTAGATACCTGTGATCAAACCATGTTGAGCCTTTCTTTGTATGATGTTTGATTTCTTGAGCTTTCTTCAAGGCATTCATAGTCATAGCTGTAGCTGTTTTGACCAAGAAATAAGTCTAAGGAACAAATCCAGATCTCTTTTGATCTAGATGAATATTCATCAGGTCTCTTTCTCCTTCAAAGATTGCTAGCTCCATGTTTTCAAAATTCTGAAGAGAAAGCATTGCAACAATTAAAGTAGTTCCATGTAGATAGAACACAGAAATAAAAATTGGTGTTCTTAAAAATGAGTCACAGTGTGACGGAGGTGAGACTGAGCCACGATAGCAGTAGAAGAGTAAATTCCCAAGGATCTAGGCTTGGGGTCTGCATGAGGCTTCATTGGCAGTGTGATCAAGGAGAAGCTATTTGACTCCTCCTGGCTTAGCCTATTCTGTGGAAAGATGAAGATCATCCCAGTGATAATGAATATGCCATGAAAACCTTGGAGGCTCCTGGGTACCACACAGGCTTAGCTGTAGAGAGATAAAGGGACAAGGGAAAGAAGCAGAGAGCATTCTGGATACACTCTGGGATTTCAGCCAGTAAAAAGCAGATGTTCCCCCATGAATTTGGAGAATGCAACTCAAAGGCAGGTTTGGCTAGACATTTGATTGGAGTACAGGTTGTGCTCCATCCCTCCACCATGTTACCAGCATCCTCAGAAGATAGTGGAGCCTCTGCCCAATGGCTTCATATGTCTTCCAATTTGCACTGCTTTTTCAATTAAAAAAATTTTTTTTGAAAGTCAAATATACAGAGGAGGAGAGAGAGATTCACTCCCCAGGTGGCTTCTACTGAGCTCATCCGAAACCAGGAGCCTCTTTCAGGTCTCCCACACAGGTGCAGGGTCCCAAGGCTTTGGGCCATCCTTGACTGCTTTCCCAGGCCAAAGGCAGGGAGCTGGATGGGAAGCAGGTATGCTGGAATTAGAACCTGACACCCATATGGGATCCTGGGCATGTAAGACGAGGACTGTAGCTACTAGACTACTGTGCAAGGCCCTTAATTTTTTAAATTAAATATGGACATTCACACTAAAATGCCAAATTATTAGGGCTGTGGTCAAAGGAAGAATTAACAGTTGCTGAAGGATAAAGCAAAGCTAAAGTGTATTAACCTGGGCCTAAGTGACTCATCTTTCCAAACTTATTCTCATTGAATTTTACAATCAACCTAACAGGTATCCATCTATGCAAAGAGCAGAAGCCAAGTGATAAATATGTTAAAGATGCACATTGGGGCATTGTTTAATAGCTAAAAAGTAGATAAAGCTTAATGGTCCACAAGAGAGGAATGATGAAATAAGATGTGTCCACCTCACTTCCATGGCTATTACACCACCAGCTGCAGAAACCTGGAGACATTTGTCAGATTTTGACATGAAGTGAGAATAGCCAAGTAGCAAATAGCTCACACTCTGTAACACTGTAACTGCAGAAAAATATTATAAAGGAATGTGAAAGTAAGTGGGCCATTGATTGATTAAATTGATTTGTTTTCTGTTTAAGTGAGGGTTGTATCACTGTTTCACAATTATTACTTATTAAAAAATGCATTTGCAGGGATAGTCCAGCTGCTGATTTCATAATACAACATACTAAGAAAATTCAGGGAAAAGTTTGATTCAAAGATAAATTTACATTGGTGCAAAAGTTTTGAAATTCTTGCTGAATTTGTTCATAGTATGCATTTTTCCATGAACTTTTGAAATAACCTTCAGCCTCTTTCACAAGAGTTTCCGAGTATCCACATAAAATCCTGTACCCATGATATAAATACCAAGTATTCCTGTGCTTATATGGATATACTATGATGTGCTTCTACTTCTTTCAGTTATGTTTATGGAAGTATAATTTACATGCAGTAATAGGTTCAATTCTATAGACAAATGAAATTTTTACAGCTTAATGGAGTCAGATAAAGCATTCAAAATCATGTAACCACTATCACAATCAAGTTGTAAAACTCTTCCACTACCCCCCCCGCCAAGGCTCTCTCATGTCCATCAGTACCTACCCCTGTCTGTAACCCCTGGCCAGCACTGACCTGTTTCTTCTCCCTGTAGTTCTGATTTCTTTAGCATGCCATGTGAAGGGAGTCAAACAGCAGATGGTCTTTAGACTGTAACTTCTACTTGGCATGCTGTATCAAAAAATTGGAGGTCCATCTGTATTGTTAGAGAAAAGAGCAAGAAAGGTGTCTCCCATATATCCATCCACTTCTAAGTAGTAACAACTGCCAGGCCTGAACCAGGCTAAAGCCAGGAGCTTCATTGGGGTCTCCCACAGGGTGGCAGGGGCCCAGCCACTTGGATTATCTTCTACTGCTTTTCCCAGATGCTTAAGCAAGGAGTTGGATGGGAAGTGGAAGCAGCCAAGACTTGAACTGACACCTGCATGGGATGTCAGCCTTGCAGGCTTTATCTCTACCACAGCAGCAGCCCCCAGATGTATGTTTTCATTTCTCTGATACAATATAATAGGGGAGAGTTTGCCAGATTATAGGGTCTATGTCTGTTTATTTTGATTTTTTTTTTTTTGCTGTAATGTGTTGGTGACATGATTTGAATCTTTGTTATAGAAACCGTCAACATCACCACTATTTTTGATCTTGAGAACCAAGTATCTGAGATGGAGAAGGCTCTGTCCTTGGGCAACTTGGAGCCTGACAGTGCGGGAGAAATGATAAACCAAGTCAGCAAACTCCTTTGCTCCCCACTCACCCTGCTGGCACCTCTGGCTCAAAGGTATGACTTAGCAAATCTGCGTGGTGCTGAGAGGGAACCCTTGAATGCTGAAGATACTGCTAATACAATTAGCTATGGCCAAGTAACTTTCTCCCAGGTTCTAGGTTCATAACAGCTTCAGTGTGCTACTCTGTGTTCTGCTTAGAAGATGAGTAGAGATGAAAGTGGGTATGCTAAGTGTCAACTGTCATCTCTTTACAGATTGCTGAAAGTAGTGGATGACATTGGTTTACAATTGAATTTTTCAAGCAAGAATATAAGTCTGACCTCTGCTTCATTGGCTTTGGCTGTGGTCAGAGTGAACACCAGTAATTTTGACACGACCACCTTTGCAGCCCAGGACTCTGAAAATCTTTTGGTATGTTGGCATTTCTGTGCGAAACACATTTTCTTGTGCACGATTGTGTAGGCCCTATCCTACTTCATGATTGAAGTGATTACCGCTTGTAGTCAAGGGTGTACTAGAAGTCTCTAAGATATGTTAACAGTGAAGTACCACAGAATCAAAGATGACATTGGTCTTGGCCAGAGTAGGTTGTTCTTTCTGAATTTGGCTTCTTTCATTCTAGCAGAGTATGTTTGGAAAGTGGAGAGCCATCCATATTGTAAGTGTTCGTGTGATAGTGTCTATCCCTGGGTGGTATTCTATTCTACAGAGTGACTGTGGCTTGTTTATTCATTTTGTGGATCATGCTTATGTGGCTAGACTCTAGACATTTGGGGAGAGGGCTATTTAGGGTCTGAGTCTCTGGCAGTTGGAAGAGCTGTGCAGAAATACCAGCTCTTTGCCAACCCATTTCAGTGTTGTAACAAGTGATAACTACACTAGCATGTCTAGTGGTTAGTGCAGAGTATCAGTCATGCTTCCAGTATTTTCTATCTACCTGTCAGAGAACCTAAGGGCTTGAAAGAACCAAGTAAAACCGAGACTTGGTTTTTACTTTCCTTAGTCTTCTTTTTCAAATGTAATTCAGTGTTATATGAAAATTGTCCATAACTGCTTGTCCTAACTTGGTGTACCTACTGCTCTGGTCTCTTGTGCACTGCTTGACCATTTCTATATATCTTTGACAAGTTTCCTATGGGACTTGAGAGGCCTCATTTCTGGATTACACATCCTCTCTTTAATCCTGGAATAGTCAGATACACAAAGCAGAAGCCATTATATACAGAAATAGCAAAGATCAAGCCCTTACATCAAAAGGGGCTAAAGACATTTTTCTTGTCTTGCACTTGATGTTCAGGTTTCCCTGGAAACTCAAGCTCCTGAGAACAGCATTGGCATTATTACTCTGCCTTCATCACTGATGAGTGCTGTACCAGCTAATGATGTGGGGCTCGCTTCCAGAATTCAGTTTAACTTTTTTGAAACACCTGCCCTGTTTCAGGTAAAGTTGCCACCTACTGCCTTTGGTTTGGGTACTGTTGGGAGGTTGGGGGATTTATTTTAATCCCTGCAAATTATGAAACCTGCTCCTAATCAAATATTTGCTCAAAGCCTACAGTTCATTTTAAAGCACAACCCAAATAGCTCACTTACATAGGATTTATCAATTGCCAAGAACAGTCATATACTCTCAAAAAAAAAAAAAATGAAGGCAAATCTTAGTTCTGTGAGACAACTGTTCTTATTCCTTCTACCTGAGGTGTGAAGGTACAGCAAGCTTGAGCCTGCTTAGGAACTCAGTTTAAATGACTTAACGTTTTGTTTCAAGAATTCATGAGACGCTGTAGTCCTAATCTGGGTCAATTGAACAGTGCACAGTGGTGCAAGCTCCACTTCTAATTGTGGTCCTTTGGGAAAGTTTGTAGTCCTTGGCCCTCGACTTCTGACCTATATCTAAAATAAACAATATGGACTACAGTGTCCTCAGTGTCCTTCTAAAGCTCTGCAATAGCATTTAAGTTTTTGTTGTCATCTTACCTCTTTGGTGTACTAGGATCCCTCCTTGGAGAACCTGTCTCTGATCAGCTATGTCATATCATCGAGTGTTGCCAATCTGACCATCAGGAACCTGACAAGCAACGTGACAGTCACGTTAAAGCACATTCATCAAAGCCAGGTAGGAAAGAACTGGCCATTGGTCCATCCACTGACATTGTGTAAGCTATGCTTGTAAGACTTAGCCTGAAAAGAGACAACTGTAACCTAAAGAACCTTGACCTTTTTTCCAAATATTGTATGAACTGGAATCTCACAGTCACACTGTTGGATTTCAATATGTCTAATGCCTAATAGCTAACCACCTAATTTACATGAAACCTCAGTATGAAGGCAAGGCTCATGCCAGCTGTTGAATTGTGCTCTATGGAGATCTGTGGATCTCGCCTTTAAAGGGAGAACATCTCAGCTCACTTCACACCGAGTGTTGGTTATGACCTTACTACTCCATGTGGGCCACAAAACTGTGGCATTAGCACCTCCTGAGAGCTTGTTGGAAACTCAAGCTCTCTGCCCCCAACGAGGAGCTGCTGAGTCGGAAGGTTCACTTTAACCAGCCAGGGTGATCCCCACACACAAGCAACGGATATCACAAGTCCTGACTTGTGTGAGTGAGGATCCCTTGCTCCTCAGAACTGTCTAGGACTAGAATTCTCCAAAAATCAAGGCCAAGAGTCTGAAATAAACATTACCATAGTGGTGCTGCCACCCCGCCTTCAGTTGCTTTTATGGGTGTTTAGCTCCATAGGTGAAATATTTGCGATTTCTCTTTCTACTGCAGGATGCCCCAAGTGTGAGCTGTGTCTTTTGGGACTTGGACAAAAATGGTAGGTTCCAGTGGTAACTCTTTCGAAGTCTTTGGTGAGCAAGTAGGAAGGTGGGGTGTTATGGGTGCTTGCTGATACTACAGAAACTCTTCTCAATGCCAACAGATGGCAGAGGAGGCTGGTCAAACGATGGCTGCTCCGTCAAAGACAGGAAGCAGAATGAAACCATCTGTACTTGCAGTCACCTGACAAGCTTTGGCGTGTTGTTGGTAAGTGCACCTGGGTGACAGGGCCATAGGTCTAGGTTCTGAGGGTTACCTGGCTGTATCACTCTACAATGTCTATTGTGATGCATGCCCTGATAAATCAACAGATGTCCCGATATCATAGCACAGTTCTACGGAACAAAATGATTCTTAGAACAAGCCTGAAGAGAAATATTTGTTCATGCAAATCAAGTATTTTTCCACATTAGATTTTTATATGTGTTTCCCTTTTAAATAACTAAGAGGACTAAAGAATTCAGAGAATGGGCAATAAAAAATGTTTCATTTGCAACATTAAGCTTTCCCAAAATACCTCTATGTAAATGATCTGCTTGTAGTCCTGTAAGATATGTACAATGGGGCATTGTTATCATTTTTTAAAAAGCTTTATTTGAAAGGCATAGTGATAGCAGGACAAGGAGAGACATCTTCCGGCTTACTGCTCTATTCCCCAAATGGCCACAACAACTAAAGCAGGAACATGTTACAGTGTCAAAGTCTCCAATGTAGTGGCAGGAATGCAAGCACTTGGGCCATCATTCTCTGCCTTCCGCAGCATGTTAGTGGGAAGCTGGGACAGAATGGAGTAGCCAGGAGCAAGAAGGGAGAAGGAAGGGAGATCTTCCATGTTCAGGTTCATTCTCCAGTGCCCGCAATCAGCAGGAGTGGATCAGAGAAAACTAAGAGTCTAGAATGTAATCCGAGTCTCCCAGTTGGGTGGCAGGGACCCAAGTACTTGTACCCTCTTGTACTGCCTCCCAGGGTGAGGAAGGAAGCTGTAATTGGGGGATGGCACTAGAACTCAAACCCAGGCACTCCATTCTGGAACAAGGGCCTCACATCACCATCTTAGCCAGTGTGCTGAATACCCCAAAGTGTAAAACTAGCAGTGCTGGCAGTGCAGAGTTGCCAAGGAGAAACCAGAAAGTGCCTCATTTAAGTGCAAAGATTTAACTTCATGGATTGAGGAAAGAAAACTAAGTGGAGATTGCTAAGATCTACAGAAAGAATGAATCTTCTGCCTTTGAAATGGGGAGTAAGTGAAAAAAAAGATTTCTCCCCATTGTGCTGACCTGCCCCAAACTGCCTTGTTGCCCGATTAGATGGAAAAGACTTTAAATGATAGCGTTTCATGCAATCTGTGATTTCTGGCCTCCACCATGAATAAGGGGTGACTATGGTAAACCACAACTCTCATTGAAAGTCCTTTGATCATCTGAAAGTGTATTTGCTTTTCCAGGACCTGTCGCGGACATCCTTGCCACCTGCTCAAATGATGGCTCTGACGTTTATCACATATATCGGTTGTGGGCTTTCATCTGTTTTTCTGTCAGTTACTCTTGTGACCTACATAGCCTTTGAGTGAGTATTCACAACTGGAAATTCGAATGATAGGACCCATCGTTGTGGGACCAGTGCTCAGCTCCACTGCTAAAATGAAATATTCGAGCCCTTTCCTTGGCTTGCCTTATCCCCTGCACCTGCTAAGTGGAGCATCTACTGGTAAAAGTTCATATGCTTGTTTCCTTTCACTAGTCTATGTGCTCACTGAAGGCAGGAATTGTGCCATAATCATCTTTGTAGGCCAGAATGAGGCCAAGGCCTAGTTCATCATAAGTGTGAAAGGAAAGGTGAGTGTATACCCCCAAATCAAGCATTTGTGACCTTAGATAGACCTTAGCTCCATGAAAAGTGAAAGAGCTATGGTTAGCTTCTAAGTTATGATTAACACCAAAATTAACATGTTAAACTCTGGTGGGGATGACAAAGAAAGATGTTTGATTTCACTTAAACTGTCTCACCCTAGAATGGCTGTAGAGAACAATAATATAGGGGCTGGCATGGTAGCATAGCAAGCTAATCCACCATCTGTGGTTGTTGCATCCCATGTGGGCCCAAGTTCAAGTCCCGGCTGTTTCACTTATGATCTAGTATTCTGTTTATGGCCTGGGAAAGCAGCAGAGGATGCCCCAAAGGCTTGGGTCCCTGCACTTGTGTGGGAGACCCAAAAGAAGCTCCTGGCTCTGTGGATGGAAGATCTTTCTGTGTCTCCTTCTCGCTGTAAATCTGCCTTTCAATAAAAATAAATAAATCTTTTTTTAAAAAGTACTATGTATTTTTTAAAAAGTACAAGATGTTGAAACTTTTTAATAAAGAGATAAACACCTGAGGAGATAGTTATGTTTACTCTGAATTGGATCCTGCATAATGTATATATATCAAAACATCACGCGGTATCTTATAAGTGTGTATAATTCTTATGTGTTAGTTATAAAAAGTTTTAGAAAAACACTGAGAAAACAGATACTCATCAAATGCAGTTTTGCAAGTCAAAGCAGAAATGACCTTCCTCAAGTCATTCCAAGGGTTGCCTGGTCACTTTTTGGGAGGAAATTCCAAAAAGCATTCTATTAGAAAAGAAGGAAATAGCCATTTTAAATCACATTAAATCACACTAACTAAATTCTGTATGTTCTAGGATTTAGTTTTTTGACACTGACCAGGAAGTGTATAAACTTATTTTCAGCATTTATGATCCAGCTATAATGGCAGGTCCTCTGGTAGACTGAAAGTGTTGTTAATGAGACTAAATGATCTGAAGGCTAGCCATTACTCAGTATGACTTCACCAAATGCAGTTATGCACACATGAACATGTACATGTCATTTGTGAGCTGTACTTTCCTGTGCGGTTACATTTTGGATATATTTTATACTGTTCTTTCCATGATCTCATTTTAATTGGTGGCCTAAGATAATACAGGAATGTGGCTCATTTTAGTTATATGAGAAGCAGCAGCAATGTGCTTCTAAAAGATTGGGGGAAATGCAATGGACTTCCAGTAGAGTCTACTGCAAACTATTTAAATGTATAGGTCGACACTCGTCAGAAATAGGCACAGATTTTCCATGTGGTTATCAATGATTCCGTTTAGATTTGTGGGGGTTTGCTTCCTTTGATATTTCTAATGCCTCCCCCAAATAGTCACATGCGTATTCAAAGAGGCAAAATATACAAATACAGATGTTCACCAGAAAATAAAAATAATGGATTCAGAGATAGCTTGACAAGCATATTCATATAAGGGTTGGCTGAAAGTCATGTTAATTTCTTCTTTGCCCTTTTCCTTTTAGAAAGATCCGGAGGGATTATCCTTCCAAAATTCTCATCCAGCTGTGTGCTGCTTTGCTCCTGCTGAACCTGGTCTTCCTCCTGGATTCATGGATCGCTCTCTACAACAGTCGAGGCCTCTGCATCTCAGTGGCTGTGTTTCTTCACTACTTTCTCTTGGTTTCATTCACATGGATGGGCCTGGAAGCATTCCACATGTACCTGGCCCTTGTCAAGGTGTTCAACACCTACATCCGAAAATACATCCTTAAATTCTGTGTGGTTGGTTGGGGTATGTATAAGTTTGCTTATGTGTTGTCTTCACCTTCTTCTTCAGTGTTTTGGATGTTTTTGGTCAGGTAGACGGAACGTGAAGCAGATCATACCTGGTTGGGTGACAGCTTTGTACTCCTTACATAGTGCCCTGGCCAAAGAGCAATCTTGGCTTTTCTGGAACATATTTCCTCGCAATTTGCCATGAGCATAAAACACCTCCAGGCTGGGCTGTGAATTTGCTTTGTGTCTCCAGCCTCAAATTGAGGTTGGCACAGATGGTGCTCGATGCATTTAGAAAAATAGCTTAGTGAGCCTGAAGCCCACTAAGCCTAATCTTGGCGCCTGAGCTCCTGGTTGGCCTCGCTATTTTGTAGTTCCCAGGTAGCAAAGAGACATGTAATGATGCTATGGGTAGAAGGTGCTCTCTCAAAGCTTTCTCTCATCCTCTTTGGCTATTCAAACTATATGTGACTGCTGTTTCCTGTCTTGCAGGGATGCCAGCTGTGATCGTGTCCATTGTCCTGACTATATCTGCAGATAACTATGGGCTTGCATCCTATGGGAAGTTCCCCAACGGATCGCCTGATGACTTGTGAGTACAAAGCCCATGCTGAGTAAATTAGAAAATGAAAAACTCCCCAAAAACTGGAGAGTCTAATCAGCCTATTGACTCTTTAAGCAGATCCACCAATGTTCAACCACAGTCTTCCCAGTCATATGGAATGACATAAGCTCATTGGAAATGCAGTGCTGCTCTTTAATGAGTTAGAGGGAGCATTTTGAAAATAGATGGATTAGGAGGTACTATTTCAAAAATAGTTTTAATGGTTTCATTAGATAAAGATGAGATATGGTCACATTATACTGATAAAAACTCACACAGTTGAGTCACTGGGATTTACAATGATAGAACTCTAAATACTTGAAGTTTCCTTTAAATGCTTCGCCACATATAAACTCTGAAATAAACTCTGAAATTCTTCTTCCTGCTGTGGACATCAGCAGGTTTTTAATTTTTTTTCTTCTCCTGTGCTGGTAGAAAATGTTTTCATAAAACATAGATTCGCTGGGCCATTTTGGATTCTACATCAGTGTAATGTACTTTCCCCTCTTTCTCTCCTTCCACCCCACCTCCATGCCAGTTGCTGGATCAACAGCAATGTGGTGTTCTATATCACAGTTGTAGGATATTTCTGTGTGATTTTTCTGCTGAACATCAGCATGTTCATCGTGGTCCTGGTTCAGCTTTGTCGCATTAAAAAGAAGAAGCAGCTGGGAGCCCAGAGAAAAACCAGCATTCAAGACCTCAGGAGTATCGCTGGCCTCACATTTCTCCTAGGCATTACTTGGGGCTTTGCCTTCTTTGCCTGGGGACCAGTTAATGTCGCCTTCATGTATCTCTTTGCCATCTTTAATACTTTGCAAGGTAAGTTCTGTAGCTTTAAATTTTCCCAGCGTGATACTGGTCCGATCTACAAACATCGCTGCTAAGAATATGTGAAAACCAGCTCATTTAGTGACTTAGGGTAACTCTGAATGCAAAACAGAGATTTGATTTCACTGACAATTGCTACATTGAGATCTTTGGAAGAAAGATGTTCCCCAAATTCAAGAATTGGGGCTTCTCCTCCTCCTGACCCAGCAGTCCTCATTGGAGAGATCATATCTGGAGGACCCTGCCACAGTGGATTGCTGAGAGCGCCAATGACTGCTCTTGCTTCACTTGGTTCCTAGCTGACACAAAGCCCAACTTGTCATTAACATAGAACATGCATACAGAGAGGCATGCAGCCCCTGTGCTGTGTCCCTGACTGGGGCCCTGTGCTTCACCCTCTTGGGTCAGTGTGATTTGGAGTCAGTGAGAAATGGAAAGGCAAAAGAGCCAGTCAGCCTAGTGCAGGACATGCGAGAGTAAAGGAGCAGGTTGGGCATGTAGCCCTTTACTTTGACACTTCCTGTATTTGTATGTGTTCACCAAGTCCAACTACAGTCCTTTGGCAACCCTCAGAGTTGGCTTCTTAAAAATGGGAAATTACTAATTTTTTTTCACTGGAATATCTCCACAGGCTGTGAATGAATAGAAAAAAAGGAACAAAAGTCCTATTCACAGGGCTTTGAGGGTTAAAGAAGAGATGGGCTGGACATGTGGCACAGCATTTAAAACAGCCCTTCAATCACTGCGTCCCATCTCAGAGCACCTGAGTTCCAGTCCTCACTTCTCTGAACCCATTCCATTCTCTGGCACCTTGGGAGGCAGCAGGTGATGGATGACTCAAGTGCTTGGCTCCCTGCCAGCCACATGGCCAACTCAGACTGATTTCCAGCCTCCTGGCTTTAACCTGGCCCAGCCCTAGCTGTTGGGAGCATTTGCAGACTGAATCAGCAAAAGGGAGATCCACATCTCTGCCTCTTATTATTCTCATTGCCTTTCAAAAATAAACGTTTAAATAGAAAATAATGAACTTTAAAAAGAGATGTGCACAGGGTATTTGAATGTGGGTATTCCCACTTTGATCTTGGCGATTCCCATTGTTTGTCCCCTGATACAACCGAGGTGGCCTTCTGAGGTAGCAAATGCATACAGATGTATAATATTAAGTGAGTCTTGTTGGTGAACATGTGTATCATACTATATGCATACTCAGAATTTCAAAGTAGCTTGACTAGGGCTGGCCAAAGAGGTTCAAACTCCAGCCATTCATCTGCAAATGTGTATTGGCGAAAACTTTGGCAAGTGGCAGAGATGGGGCATTGAGATGAGCCCTAGCCTAAGAAACTAAGGGCACAGGTGGGCAGCAGGCAGACCGAGTGCCCTCTTTTCAGTCTTCAGTTTGCTCTCCATGCAGGATGCCAGGGGACTATTTCCTTAAGCAGGTCAGAGGGAGGTGGGAAGATAGCTGAGTGCCTGCATGTAGTTCCCATGGCTCCAGGGCAAGAGGGAGAGGCCCAAGCAAAGGCTAGACAAAGAGTGCAGCATAGGGGAGAGGGATGTGAGAGCTGCCACAGGGATGGCGTTCCACAGAAGTTAGGGGTAGATTGTAAATCCAGAGGCGGCGAGCTGAGAATCTTCTCTGCTGGGATCCTGGGCACATATCTTATACTTCCACCGCTACAAAAGCCAAGCCCAGGATGTTAGAGAAGAGTCAGGGAAGTGGGATCATTCCACTCGATTTTACAAAGATTAAAAACCAAGTTCACCTCCCACCTTGCCTCTCCTTTCCTAGGACTCTGAGCATTTATTTGTGAGATTGCATTTGAGCCGCAGCTGCTAAACATCTTATGTACAAAGCAAGTTCTTGACACTCAGGTCTTACGTGGCATTCATTCTGTTCGGTTTTGCTTCCTCCTCTCGCCCTTAGGATTTTTCATATTCATCTTTTACTGTGTAGCAAAAGAGAACGTCAGGAAGCAGTGGAGGCGATATCTGTGTTGTGGCAGATTGCGACTGGCTGAAAATTCTGGTAAAGATTTTCCTTCCTTTTTCTCCTCTTACACCTTAAGGCAAAAATGGTACACATTAAGGTTCAAAGCAGTCCTTAGCAAAGATCATTTGATCTGAAAGTTAGTGGGATCTGCCCAAGAGAAAATATCCATGGTGAACATGGAGGCTGGGGACTCTAGATGGGTTAAAAAAAGAATAACCAATACATAGCTGCCTTAGAAAGAAGAGACAGTGACGTTTTGAGAATTTCCCCTGAGCTCCTGTTTGTCATTTCCCAGAGTAATCTTTAATATTTACCTTCACAATCTTTTAACTTTTGACTCAACTTTTTATGTTAGCAGGCTGAAACTTGGTGTATAAACTTTAGCATCTGGATACATTTGATTAGCTGTTTTTAGCATATGTCTGATCATTCTGAAATTATTTTCACATATTCCCTGTTGGGTAGTCAGGTATTTCACTCATTAAGAAGAGAGAAATGAAACATTGTTGGAAGAGCTAGATTCCTTGTGCATCATAAGTACCTGGGAAACCTACCTTGGCAGTATCTAGCGAACATGGCAGTACCTATAATGAGCCATTTCCATGGAGTTTGGAACAGCAAAGAAACACAGCACAGTCAGTCTGTTCTTGTGGAGGCCATAGCAAGCTCTGCATTACCACCCAGTGCAGTGGATACCACACACACAACCAAGCTAGCTTGACTTTTCATGCCAGGAGATGATAGGGGACTTTCTACCAGGAAGTCACTTCTAGGACAAATGTCTCGGGTATAAATGAAACATTTTTATCACACCAGCCTGTGAAGTGTCTCTGTGAGAGTTCCGGTAGTGAGAGAGCAGGTGCTAGAACTGTTACACTGTGATCTGTCTCTGGCGTTTGAGCTTCAACATACTGCCCTGTTTTTCTGTAATGCTTATTCTGCTGTAGACTGGAGTAAAACTGCTACTAATGGTTTAAAGAAGCAGACTGTAAACCAAGGAGTATCCAGCTCTTCAAATTCCTTACAATCAAACAGTAACTCCACTAACTCCACCACACTGCTAGTGAATAATGATTGCTCAGTACACGCAAGCGGGAATGGTATGTATGTCTCAATATAGTATTTAGCAAGCTAGTATCTGTTGCTGAAAGTACTTTTATCCTTTAGTGGCATTTTGCTAAGCAATAGAATGACATATGACTAGTAGATCAAAATGTGGTTCCCTGATAAGTTTGTCCATCCAAATTCGTTTTAGAGAAAATATTCAAATTAATTTTTAAGATTTAGTTTTTCGTAATGGGATTGCATGATAACCTGAAAGTTTTAAGTCCTGATTTAAGTATTGCCCAAAGACTTCAGTACTGTGCTATTTCTGTGAGAGCAGTACCTAAAATAATCAATAAGACTGATATTTATTATACCTATAATCATACACATCTAACACTTTTAAACCATTCTATTTTTCATTTTTCACATTTGTCAAGTCTTTCCCACAATAAAGGTAATTTTGTGACAGCACCCAAACCCCATGAATATACCAAGTGTTGTACCCATGGCACTAATAGATGAACAGGTTACTGCTGCGGTGCCTCCCTCACTAATTCTGACATTTCTAGCTAAAAACTTTTGCGATCTTTCTTTCTTTCTTTCATAAGACCTGGCTGTTTATTACTCATAAAACTTATATTACCCCCTCTTCTAACTCCCCCCCTTTTTAACCAACTTTGACTTCTTAGTGTCTTTTGCATTTTTACAAGAACTTAAACTCTGCCAGTATATTATCTCCTTGCATGGAGAATTTGCCTTTATCTGTTGTTTTAGGCTAGCAACCCTTCTCATGCCTAATTCAAAAAGTTTGGGAGAAGGTGCACACATCTATAAAATAGCTTTACCACTCTCCAAAAGATGGAAGGTACTGCTGGTTTGTCCAGACTTTTAAAATACAATAGGATGTGTCAAATCAAGATTTCTCAACCTCAGGCACAATTGACATTTAGGGCTAGTTAATTCTTTATGGTGCATCCCAGCTCCAGTTTTGACAACCGAAAACGTCCCCACATATGGTCAGCTGTTCCTGGGTCAGGGGTCACATTGAGTCTAAGATTGCTTCTTTTTTTTTTATTGTTATTAACATTGTATTATGTGATACAGTTTTATAGGCACTGGGGATTCCCCCCACCCCTTCCATACCCCTCCCCCCATAGTGGATTCCTCCATCTTGCTGCATGACCACAGTTCAAGTTCAGTTGAGATTGCTTCTTGATGAGATCCACTGAGAGAGAGAGAGAGAGAGAGAGAGAGAGAGAAACAGCTGCCTCAATGCCCTTAGCTCTTTACTGTCATTACCAGAAGTTAGGCTCTGAGTCGCATGTCCAACAGCTATATCACAAGTGAGCCAGCATAGGTAAACAGAGTCGAGGTAGTATGAATTCAGGCTGGTTTATAAGCCTAAGAAAGCAACTTGAACACAGAATAAAAGATGTGAAGTGGGTTCTCAAAGCCTTCAAATCACAAAACATGTTTAGGGCTCTGAATTCATATGCCAGATCTTTCTGTAGAAACAACACTCAGAGATGAAATCTGACTGGCCTGGCCCTATCGATGCATTGCCATGCTCTGGGGAAATCAGATCCAACAGCCACGGCACATTATGCCACAGCTGCCTGCCATAGCTATGTTGATACCTGCCGGTGAGGGTGAACATACATGTTAGAGCCATGTGACATACATTAATAGATGAAAATCCCTGGTTCTGTACTCCCCCCGCCCCAGGACCCAGAATGCATGGAGAATGCAACTGACACTTGCAAAAAGCTGATAGTAGATCGGTTTGTTTATTTTGCCAGGACAAAGTGTTCCTGTATCAAATGTCCTCAAGCCAAAATGCCTAAATCTGAACAGCTGCCTCAGATGGCCAGGCATCTTGGCCTGTTGGAAAGGTAGCACAGACAAATGTGTTAACCATATCAGTGGCCGAATTTGTACTAATGTGACATATCTCAGTTATGAGCTGCCTTAGAGGGCTTGGATAACCTTGGGCACAGCAAGGCTTCTGCAGCCATAGTTTCATTATCCATGAAATAGGTCCTACTCAATCCAGTAGGATTTAAAATGAGATGTCAATTAGAATGTGCTCTGCATATTATTAGCATTGCTATATTTGCATTACCAATCGCCAACTAACAGATGAGCTTATTACTCAGCTTTCCGTGCTATCTCCCAATAGTATGGTTGTCAGAAAGATGGGGCTAAGCACAGCAGCTGTGCTCCCCTGCATCCAGGGCCTGCTTGCGAAGGAAGTGGCCAGGCTTCAAGCACGCCTGCCCTCACATGCCTGTGTGCCCTGGACTTTCAGGGTGGAATTTCCTCTTGGAAATCAGCTCTATCCTGAACGGATCCAATCTATCCTTATCTAATCAAACTGGCTTAAACTACAATTTAAAAAAGTGCTGTCTTGTCACAAAGGTTGGGGCTACTTGCCCTGTGTTGCTCTAATATGAAAGTTTGTTTTACAGGAATTTTAGGGAACCAGGGATTTTGCAAGGATACACGTGGGGACTCTATTAACCTTATTTAACATTTGAGGGGACACCAGGATCTTTCCTTAGGTTGTTTAACACTACTTGTAATCAATATAGACTCAACCAGAGTTAGGAAATAGGCTTTTGATTGTTTTGCTTTAAAAATGCCATAGAATATTTCCAGTTTGCTGTGCTGAGTTTGAGTGACCTTAAGGAGGGAATAATATGGATATCAAGTTTTTAAAAGATGTATTTGTGCATAGTTCAGATGAGAGCAATGTCTGGGTTTGTTTTTTACAGCTTTCTGTGGCTCCCTCATGACACTGACTTTGATTTTCCCAATGTAGGGAATGCTTCCACGGAAAAGAATGGGGTTTCTTTCAGTGTTCAGAATGGAGACGTGTGCCTTCACGATTTCACTGGCAAACAGCACCTGTGTAATGAGAAAGAAGATTCCGGCAGTGGTAAAAACCGGATGACTCTTAGAAGGACTTCGAAGAGGGGAAGCTTACCCTTCATTGAGCAAATGTGATTACCTCTTTCTCTGATCAGAGCATGAAGCTCGGCAGCATGAAAGGTCCAGCTTTTGCCTTTTTACACAATGTGAGATGATGAAAATCAACTTGTTTTCTACTTAGCAACCTCGAGAGGAGCAGAAGCTAACTGGGAGCGATGGTTACCTTTGAAGAGGAAGGAAAAATAAATCAAGAAATCTATTAAAAAAATCATCATAGGTTTTAGAAATTTGTGATTTGGTTTCTTTACTGTGTTTCAAAGAAGTTAGTTTTAAACAACGCAGTGAAAAACTATCAAAAAAAAAAGTAGTTCACTTAGTCTCTAAAGATGTGGGCTGAAAATGACCTTTGATAACGTAAAGAAGCTGTTGACTTTAGCCTGTTGGCAAGTGTAGTTCTGCATGCTTTTGTTATGTATATGGGCTAAAAGCTGGTGACCCACATTGTCCAAAATAGCACTTCTGCGTGTTTGGTTATTTATTTCCTACTGTGTAAGTTCATGCCTTCCTAGACTCAAAGTCGTACTTTGTTGAATGTGATAATTCAGAAAAATCCTTGCTGATTTGGTGAGTTCTAAAGCTCCTTTTGGAGACTGTATGGGCTGTGAAATACAGAGACTTCACTGAATTCTAGAATAGCAGTGCTAGTCAGACTGGGAACCGTAAGGTGACAGTGCCACAATGAGCTCAACCACTACCTATGAGCAAGTTAGAAAAAGGGGACTCCATGGGACAGCCAGCACTCAGTAGGCCTACAGTTCTGCAGGAAAGGAGCCATGTGTGAGCTCCATTCATTCTCTCTGGCATCCTTGTGCGAGGCATGACCCTTACAGCTATACGTGGCATCCAGTACTGAGGCCAATGGCTATCTGTGCAGCTACCCCTAATTAGCAGTGTGCAATCTGCAGCAAGTTAGCTAAAGACCTTGGCCACAGACAGGGATGGAACCGGAGTCTCAACCATCTGTTAGCAAAGTGGTGAGTGTGAAGGAGGTACCTACTGACACTGCCCACATCCCCGGGCCTTTCAGAAGAGAGGAGCAGCATAGGATGACTTCTTAGAAGAGAGATTGAGAGAAAGGGGAAAGAGAATATTGCTGTTCTTTAAAAGATGTGTTGCTGATTATTCTGACAAATCACTCTGGCCCAACCAGATTTATAGCTATTTTGTAAAATGTGTCAAGCCTGGAAGAGTGTATAGTGACAAGGGGGAGCAGCTCCTGCGAACAGCAGACCACTCTGATGCTGTTGTTACCATGCAGATCAACTGCCAACTGCTCCTAGGCACATGGAGCCCATCTGCTTCCCACTGACACATGTCCTTCGCCACACACATGTCCTTCTTGGGAACTGTTCAGAACCTGCTAGTTCTTTCACTAAAGCTCCCTTGCATATATTTCCGATGGATATTATATTCCAGACTAACTGTAGTAGTGCTATAATCTCCTTCTGTGAACGCTGATTTGTCTCTGCAATATTTTTGATTTATTGATTTATTTAATTGTCTTATATTTATGTTAAAAAAATCAACCAAAGGGTTATAAAATCAATGGAAATGTTACAAATCAACTGAAATGCTAAAATCAATAAAGTAAATTTGCAGCAGAATCCTTTGATGTTTGGTAACTGTCTTAATAAGAAACGCTTTGTGGTCACTTTCCCTGGTGGGGTGGCATAGAGGTGACAGGGCGTCTTATGAAGATAAGGATTAGTAATGTCTAATATCTTAAATCTGCTACACTCATTTTCCTATCAGGTTTTATGTTTGGACTATGATCTTTCAGCCAAATTGTCTTACCTGGTTTTTTTCTTAATACGTGCTTTCTTGGCAAGGCAGCAATACAGCTCTTGTCTCCTGGTTCACTCCCCAAGTACCCCTAATAGCTGCAACCAGGCTGTCCTGCAGCAGGAAGCTGGGACCTCCACCAGGGTCGCCTGCGTGGGTAGCAGGCATCCCACCATTTGGGCCATCACCACTGCCTCCCAGGGTCATGTTATCAAACCTATGCCTTATGCTAATGGATTCAAGTATCTTAACCCTTAAGCTAAACACACGCTCCTGTTTTTTTTTTTTTTTAATTTGTTTATTTGAAAGGCAGAGTTAGAGAGGAGCAAAGAACTGGAGAGAGGTCTTCCATTGGCTGGTTCACTCCCTAAATGACCACAACGGCTGAGCTGAGCCAGGCAGGAGCCAGGAGCTAGGGAGCTCATCCAGGTCTCTTGCAAAGATGCAGGTGTCCACGCATTTATAGCATCCACTGCATTCCCAGGGAGCTGGATTAGAAGTGGAGCAACTGGGACTCAAATTGGTGCCCACGAGATGCCAGTGCCACAGACAGCGGCTTTACCGGCTCTGCCACAGTGCCATACAAATATGGGACAGATCAGAGGCAGGCTGTTCCTAAGCAGGAGCCACAATCTGAGTGCCTATTGCAAGGAGACAGAGAAGAGAAAAGCCTTGACTATCAGAGCAGGGGCCAGGAGGTGGAGTTCTTAGTCAAGACACTGCCATCATTCAGCACGTGTACCGACTTCATTGACAAATGGTCAGGATTATTCCCTTCAAAACTGATGGTACAGCTTCACCTGAAATTCTGGGCTGTGTCTAACCAAGTCACCCAGGAGGCAGGGCGCTGCTGAGGACTTTATGTTAATCTTTAACCCCATTTTACAGATGTGAACATTGAGATTCAAACTGAAGTAGCATGCAAAAATCACATTACTTTTAAGTGGCTGAACTGAAGTGTGAATTGAATTTGAACTGACTCCAAGTTTGAGGTTTTTACTGAAAGAACAATTTGAAGAATGTGGAGGGCCAATAGGAAAGGGGAAAGTTACACTGGCCCTTTAAGAGAATATTCTGGTGGTGAGAAGGGAGGGCCGAAGGGGTCAAGCCAACAGAAGCTATGTGGAAAACAGCAAGGTGTTTGCAGCATCGATGCCATGAAGCTAACTGTCCAGCGAAATTCTTATGAGGGCCACATCTTGGTGGACAAACGAAGGACCTAGATGTTTTCTGCTTTTGTGATTCTGCCTTAATTGTTTGGCTGGGGGCTGTGTGAACTCCAGGCCTGATAGTCTACCTGACACCTGGCAGGACAGCTGGCAGTCACCTAGACAGACCACTGCTCAGGAAGGAGGTTCCTGGTGTTTGATAAGATCTACCACCCATCAATTTGTACCTTTTGCTTGCTTCAAACCCACCAATAGAAGCCTGCTAAATCATGACTGTATAATTAATAGCCTGAAATGTATAAGGACCCTGGGCTGTTCAACGGGGGGGGGGGGGGCCCTCTCCTCTTTTACCCCCCCTGCTGTTCCTGCAGCAGCCTGGGCTGCAGCGGCCCCTCCCCCTCCAGCCCTGCTGCGCTCAGGGAGGTGGCTGGGAGACCGAGGCTAACCTGAATAAACCACCGTTATGCCTTAGCACTGACTTCAAACTTGATGATTTTCTGGGGATTTCAAAATCCGGCACCACACGAGGACTGCCAGGCCAAAGGCCGGCAGGAACAGTAGGCGATCAGCAGGCATGGGGAATGAACGAATAGCAAGTCTCAAATTGCAGAGCGATTCAGGAGAAAATGAAACCCTAGCCCAGGTAGCTGGAGGACCCCCGTCGAGTTTTCCCTATTTCCCTTCCAGGCTAGGATCCCCCAGCAGGGTTCTGCACCGCAGCGATGGGGATGGGGACAAGGACGGGGCAGTGAGATGCACGGCTTGAGAGGGCCTGTTTCTCCAGCACCGGCTGGGGCTTACAGTCCTTGGAGGAACAGAGTGGCTCAGGAAGGCCAGCTGCTTCCCACCTGCAGCCAGTTTCGCCACTGCTGCTGCAGGCCAGCCCGGGTTTGCTTCCCTACAGGACAGGCTCTGAGGGTTCCGTGGGTGGCAGAGGCGGGGCTAGGGGTGGGGCTCTGATGACATCACAGGGTGGGGCGGGGCCTCTGGCCGAGCTCTTGCCTGCGGGTCTCCCCTCAGGCCCGGCGCCGAGGGTTCGGCCCCAGGGCGGGGCAGGCCGCCGAAGACCGAAGACCTGTTCCCCCGGCCTCTGCTGGCAGCCTGGGGGGAAGTGAAGGGGATTAAGGAAGTAATTCAGTTCCCATCCTAAATCAGGTTGACTACGTTCCCTCGGGGCATCCCTTTTTCTTCCTCCTCAGGCTGCTTGCAGGGTCGGGGCGGGGGCAGGTCTGGGTGGGCTGCCTCACAGCCGAGGCGGGCTGCCCGCTACGCCCAGAGGACAAAAGATTCTGGGTAAGGGAGCACGGCTGGCCTGGTCGAGGCGGAGTCGCCATAACGCCTGCCTCCGTCTCCGCCCCCGCGCCTCCCAGCCGAGCCATACTGGCTGGCTCGCTTTCCAGTTACACTTTTCTTTCTTCTTCATTTTTTTTTTTTTTGAAAAGTCCCCACCTCCTCCCGCCCTTCCCCATCCTGAGTATTTGAGAAGCCTGCTTGCTAGGCAGCTGCAGGCCAGGCGGCCCGCCTCTCCACAGCAGAGCAGACTTCTACCGACTTCTGGAACCCGGAGCGTGGAAGAGATGCGCAGCAGGAGCAACTCCGGGGTCCGCTTGGATGGGTACGCACGGCTGGTGCAGCAGACCATCCTGTGTTACCAGGTAAGATGCCACTGTGTCAAGCTTTCCCCAAGTCTCTGTTCCCCCCCCCGCCCCCCCAGCCCGCTGCTGTCCGAGACCTTGCAGTTAAGAGGCGTCCCACCTGAGCCCACTCCTTGCTAGCCACTAACGACCACCCCCATTCCTGTGCAAATAAGGAGACAACTCCAACAGCGACTGTGACTGCTCTTCATGAAACTCTTTGATCATTGTTTACAGCCAAAACTTAGAGCTGCTTGTATATGCAGTGTCTTTCTGTTGTGTCTGCTTTTGAATGAGAGGTGTAGGAAGGCCGGCCAGCCTCTGCAGGGTAACTACTATTGCAGCTGCTGCAAGTAACCATCTTAGTGACCCCCCTGTCCGGGCCTCAGTGCCTACTCACATTGCTGTTTCACAAATAAAGTGCGACTAGCGAGATTACTGAATGTAGTAGCATATGGGCCAAAAACAGGTCGTGTGTTCCTAAGCTCCAAGGGTCCTGTAGAGACACCATGTGCTCCAAAGTGGAAACATGCCTGCCGTGCCTTGGCCAGCTGGGCCACTGAGGTGTGGGTCCGCCTCGCAAGACCACTGAACTATTTTTATTCAGAGTGTAGACAGCAGTTGTGTTGCTTGCCTTCAATCAACACGAGCTATTTATAGGGCCTTCTGAGTCAAAGAAACGAGCGGTATTTGGTGGTTAGAGGTCCAGCCTGCAAATGGGCAGCCATGGACCATTCTCAGCGCGTGCTTCATCTCTCAGCCTCGCCCCTTCACTCAAGCCATATTGGCTGTGCACCTGCCACATGCAGGGATCCTACGAAGGACTGGGCTTCAAGAGGATGAATTCTTGTCGAGCAATGAAATTTATGCCTAGGGTAACTGCAGATTCTCACATTAGTTTATTTCATCTCTTGCCACCAAACAGGCTCGGTCCACACGGCAGTTTGCAGCCCTAACTGGTGTTTGTGACTGACGGAGCGTGCTCCTCGTCTGAGAGCTTTGAGCAAGTTTGTGGGGCGGGAGAGGAAGGCCTGTCACGTGGAGAGTTCAAAGCGCAGGCACGCAAGGAGGGGAATATATTTGTCACAAATTTTATTTATTTTTATTGGAAATGCAGATTTATAGAGAAGAAAAGACAGAAAGATCTGCTGTCTACTGGTTCACTCCCCAAGTGGCCACAATGGTTGGAGCTGAGCTGATCTGAAGTCAGGAGCCAGGAGCTTCTTCCAGGTCTCCCAAGTGGGTGCAGGGTCCCCAGGATTTGGACTGTCCTCTTTCCCAGGCCACAAGTAGGGAGCTGGATGGAAAGTGGAGTGGCCAGGACATGAATTGGCATCCATATGGGATTCCAGTGAATGCAAGGTGTTTATCCACTAGGTTATCGCTCCAGGCCCTTGTCACATATTTTTAAATCCAACTTGAAAGGCCTCTCCCTCAAGGTCTGTGATGGCAGTGGCTGCAAGAACTGATGAAACCTGATGCTTGTGTCAGATCTAGTCCTGAGTTTGAATTCTTAGCTCTGCCTTAAAAAGATTTTAGCTATACTTTCTGGAACCCAAGCCCTAATCTGAATATGGGGACAAGAACACCAACTTCCATTGAACTACTATAAGGAAAAAACTTACGCCCGAATACATTGACTAGCAACAAATGGACAGTCAGTAAGTACTGGCTTTTCTTGATGGTGTTAGGGCATTGATATGGGCCTTGTGCAGTAGCCTCGTGGTTAAAGTCCTTGCCTTACAAGCGCTGGGATCCCATATGGGCACTGGCTCATGTCCCAGCTGTTCCATTTCCCTTCCAGCTCCCTGCCTGTGGCTGAGGCAAGCAATCAAAGATGGCCTAAAGCCTTGGGACCCTGCACCTGTGTGGGAGACCCAGAAGCAGCTCCTGGCTCTTAGCTCCTGGCTTCGGATCAGCTCAGCTCTGGCCGTTGCCGCCACTTGGGGAGTGAATCAGTGGGTGAAAGAACTTTCTCTCTCCTTCTCTCTGTAAGTCTGCCTTTCCAGTAAAAACAAATAAATCTTAAAAACAAAAATAAAACATTGATTCAGGACATGTGTTAGCACCCAGGTGGTTCTCACTTGAGCTGCTGGGTGATGCTGGGCGCTCCCGATGTCCATGACGCAGCTGCTACTGGCTCTGTGGCCCCCGGACGTAGTTACTATGCCTTTTCAAGCACAGAGACCTCATCAGTTGTGTGCTTTTGCATGGAGCAGTGAGTGCCCCAAGCTTTTGAAAGGGTCGCTTCATCCCCTGCTCATGAGACACTCCCTACACTGGACCCCGCTGCTGTGCCTGGTGGGCATGCCTTCCCTCAGGAGCAAAGAGCATCTTCCCAACAAAGCCAGTCTGCACGCTTGGACTTTCTTCCCCAACATTTTAATCATTAAAAAAAAAAAGTTGTCTGAGCCTTCAGTTGTGTTTGCTTTGGGGGTAGATGGTGAGATGCCCTTATGTTTGCCCTTTTTGCTTTTCTGGCTGCAGTGTCAAACTCCGCTGACTGACCAGCACAGCAGGTGTAGAATTGTGTGCTGTGCCACCCAACCCTTTGACAGTCATTTCCACCACCTGTAAAACCGCACTCTGGGGAAGGCCCCGGCCTCTCCTGAGGGATCTTAGGCAGCCACCTAATCACACTGTCAAAATGAATGAACAATTCTATATTAGGCATGTTTTGTATTATATATATTTTACCACACTAAAGAAAAAAGGACCAGGCCAAGTGGTTTCTATAATTTCTATTACGTTTTTCCATCTTCTACAGATACGTGCGAATGGGTTAAGGTGTTTTTCAGCCCCAGCTGCTAGAAGATATGAACTCTATCTGTGCTTTGCTTGTTAAGATAACTCACATTGGTTTTTCCTTGGTAGAAGTCATTCTGTGTTAAATATGTCAAGTTAATTACCATTCTTCTGTCAGAGGCAAGAGTCTATCAGCTAGCATGTCAACCAATTGTTTTTCCTGTATCTGTAAAGGAGAAAGACTTCCTATTTTTATTTGCCAGATACTTTTTATTAAATATTATTTGAATGCTTAGGGAAAAGAAAAGAGCTATGCTTGTAAAAGGCTCCTTTTGCAGATTTTGTGAATATATACACTAGAAAAATCACCAAAAACTTGTTGTTAAAAAAAAAAAAAAAAGATTTCTAGGCTATTTTGGCCTGACTGAGCAGAGCCTGATGCATTTCTTCAGTAGCAGCCCTGTTTGAAAGTGCGTTTTTGAAAGAGTTAAGTATGAAGTAGTGGTAATAACATAGGGATTCAAGAGTAGACACAGGCCTGGGTTATCGGCCTAGCCACCAAGATGCCGGGTGAGACAGGTTCCGCCTCGGGCTGCCTGGGAGTGATACTTGAGTCCAGTTTCCTGCTAATGTGGACTCGAAGGCAACCGTGCTGGCTGCACTAACCGGGCTCCTGCGGCCCACATGAAGGTCTGGATTCTTAACTTCTGACTCCTGGCTGGCTGTCGCAGGCATCTGGGGGGGGAAACCAGCTGACTTGGAAGTACCCCCTCACCTCTTGAAGAAGTTTTTAGTAATCAAGACAGTATTTTTTAACTTCCGATTATTTAGTACAATAAAGCAAGTAGTTAAGTGACCAATAACTAAACATTAACATCTAGCCGCAATAAAATTTAAAATGAGAAGAATGAAATAAATAAAACAAGAAGTATGGAACAAATAGTAACAGAAATAAAGACCAATTTGGAAAAGGTGAAAAAGAGTATAATTAAGTACTGTAAGATAATATGGCAAAAGAATAGGAATAGACTGGACTTCAACAATTCCAAGGTCTTTATTCATATTAAGAAGGAGGATAGAAGTATTAATTCTTTAAGAGTTCTTGTGTAAGCATGACCACAAATACAAATAGAATACAAGACTGCCAACATGACAGAAGAGTAAAGAAAATTGATTATTCCAAGAGTAGGAAAGAGGGTTTTGGGGGAAGGTGAAAAGTAGGAGGCGGCAAGGTAAGTTGTAAGAACAAAATAACTTGCAAGTAAGTCCAACCAAATCAGTAGTCACAGTAAATGCGGCATAGGCTTAATTTAGCTGGGTAATAGAAATTAATAAACTGGTTCGAAAGGGGTATATGGTTCATGAGACGTAAAACCTGAAGTGCAGGTTGCTAGAAGGTTGGGAGTAATGTAATGGGGTAGGATATAGTAGGCAAAAACTAGCCAAGAAGAAGCTGACGTAATTGTGCTAATGTCAAAGTAGGTTTTGAAATTTTTAAATTATGAGACATTGAAGTCTATTACTAGATGACAGATGGTAATTAGTAAAGAAAATATAGCAATTTTAAATTCACTAAATGATAACAAAGCTTCAAAGTATATAAACTTGCCAAATCCATAATTCTTACTTCTTGTTTGGATTGAAAGGGTTGCCTGCCATAGCCAAGGGCTGGGTCAGGTATGAGGCCAGGAAATGGGGTTTCCAATATGAGTGGCTGGGACTTAGGTGCTTAAGCCATTATTTGCTGCCTCCGGAATGCATTAGGAGGAAGCTACATAGGAAGCAGAGGAGGGACTCAATCCAGGCACTCTGATAGGGAACATGAGCATCCCCAGTGGTAGCTTAATCAGCTGTGCCAGAACCTCCAGCCCAACAGTGGGAATTTGTTTAAACTTTGTTTCTCAGATACTAATAGATCATGCAGAGAAATATGTAGGGCATAGAAAATTAGAACACCATGAGAAACTGGAATAAGTATTTTCTACATATGTAAAACTACTGAATCAATGTGAGGTACTTATTGTTGCAACTTTGCAAAATCTATTTTCCAAAAACGAGTGACAAATGAGGGTGGAAAGGCAGTTTCAACAAATATACAAGAGTCTGGGTCAGTGGTTGGTGCAGCAGTCCTGTGGCTGCTTGAAAACTCTGTATCCCAGATTCAAGTGCCTTGTTCAGGTCCCAGCTCCTCTGGTCCAACGTCCTCCTCTGTGCACCCGGAGAGGCAGCAGATGATGGCTTAAGCACTCTGTCTCTGCTGCCCTGCATTGCATTGA